CACTGGATGTTATTTTTAAACCAGAGTTGCTGGAAAAAATCAGGGAGGACTTTAAATTAAAACTACAAGAAGAACAATTTTTAAATACAGTAGAATAAAAGGAGGATGTAGTAGCCACCTTTGAATCATTAAGAAGCCACGATGATTTTTTTAAATGAAGGGGAGGACATGCTTGATTTTTCAGTCCTAAAGAAGTCAAATTTCTACTACCTGATAAGTAAGGACAGGATGTGGAGAAAACGTATTACCTCATATCTAAAGTGAAAATTTTTGCAATTCTATGCTTGATGGAATTGTGATATTTCTGAAGCCAGTTTGTGGTGCCATTTCTTAAATAAGCTGAATGATATACAGTTTACGAATGATAATACTTCATAAATTTATATGTTATATCTATTTTTTAAATCAAAGAGATTTCAAGCCTTCTATTCAGAAATGACATCTATAATCCTGCAATCAATCCATGGCTAGACATCCACCCAGAAGAAAAAAACAATCATTTTACCATAAGAATATTTGCACTAGAATGTTTGTCATGGGTCAGTTCACAATCACCAAGATGTGGAAACCATCCAAGTGCCTATCAACTCATGAATAGATAAATAAAGTGTGGTATATGTATACCATGAAATACTATTCAGCCATAAAGAAAGAGACTTTACATCTTTTACATCTACCTGGAAGGATTTGGGGAACATCCTCCTAAGTAAAGTATCTCAAGAATGGAAAAGCAAGTATCTAATATTCAATACTAACATGAAACCAATAGATGAGCAGCTACACACCCACATGAGAGAAAGACCACAATCAAGTGGGGGGGAAGGACCGGTGTGCTGTCCCCTAACGGCCACAGTGTAGGGGTACAGGGCACACCTCTTGGGTGAAGAGCTCAACTACAACTTGGACTTTACCTAACAAAGGCAAACAATATAACCTAATCATTTGTACCCTTATATCAATCTGAAAAAAAAAAAAAAATCTTATATTCATAATTGACATCCATGAGAGTGTTTTGTGGTTTAGGGTGGTAAACTTGTTCTGTAAACTGCTGTATATATATGGTGTATTATTCCTCTGCTGGGTTATATATTTGAAGCCAGAATCTTTTTAATATGCGTGTGTATGGGTATTTTAAAATTCTTACAGTACCTAGCATAGTAGCTTATCTGTGAATATTCAGTACTTTGAATACATAAATATTGCTTTCTTTCTTGGAATCATCAAAGTTTAAAATAGCTTTGTGCCAATACCATGCTGTTTTAGTCACTATGGCCTTGTAGTATAGCCAAAAGTCAGGTAGGGTGATACCCCCAGCTTTGTTGTTATTACTAAGAATTGCCTTGGTTTCTTCTGGTTTCATACAAAATGAAGAATTATTTTTTCCAAATCTTGAAAGTATGATGATGATATTTTAATGGGCATTGCATTGAATCTGTAGATTGCTTTGGGTGTATAGACATTTTCACAAAAACAGAGACATTGACATTTGGAACCAAACAGAAAACCATGAGATGAAACTAACATCTTATAGCCACCTGATTGATCTTTGATAAACGGAACAAGAACATATGTTGGGGAAAAGAAGAATCCCTATTCAGTAGATGGTGTTGGGAGAACTGGATAACCACATGTGAGACCTGCACCTCTCACCACTTACAAAAATGGATTAAAAATGGGTAAAAGATTTCAATCTAAGGCCATGAAACAACAAAAAATCCTCAAAGAAAGTATGGGGGAAACACTTAATGATATCGGCCTGGGGAAAGATTTAATGAAGAAGACTTCGTGGCAATTGCAACAAAAACAAAAATTAACAAATGGGACTTAATTAAACTGAAAAGCTTCTGTATAGCTAAGGAAACAATAACCAAAGCAAACAGACAACCTTCAGAATGGGAAAAGACATTTGCATATTATGAATTGGACAAAAGCTTGATAACTTTAAGAGAACTCAAATTAATCAACAGAAAAAGACCCCAAAATCTCATATCTCTAGGCAAGAGAGATGAATAGAACCTTCTCTAAAGAAGACAAATGATTAACAAACATATGAAAAAATGTTCATCATCCCTAATTATCAGAGAAATGCAAATCAAAACTACCCAGAGATAACACCTAACCCCAGTGAGAATGGCCCACATCACAAAGTCTCAAACCTGCAGATGCTGGTGTGGATGTAGAGAGAAGGGAACACTTTTACACTGCTGATGGGATTGCAAACTAATACAACATTTTTGGAAGGAAACATGGAGAATCCTCAGAGAACTCAAGCTAGACCTCCCATTCAATCCTGCAATCCCACTACTAGGCATCTACCCAAAGGGAAAAAAATCCTTTTACCACAGGGACACTTGCACTAGACTGTTTACTGCAGCTCAATTTACAGTTGCCAAAATGTGGAAATAACCTAAATGCCCACCAATCCAGGAATGGTTTAACAAGCTGTGGTATAAGTATACCATGGAATGCTATTCAGCCCCTAAAAAGATGGAGACTTTACATCTTTTGTATTAACTTGGATGATGGTGGAACACATTCTCAGTAAAGCATCACAAGAATGCAGAAGCAAGAACCCAACTTATTCTACTCTAATATGAAGGCAGTAGATGAGCTAATACAAGGGGAGGGGGTTAGGAGAATGAGCAGGTGGGGGGAGGAGAAGAGGGAGGGGGATGGCGGTCACTGTGTGTGACACACCTATTGGGTGCAGGACACAATTACAAGAGCTACTTTACCTAACAGATGCAATCATTGTAACCTAATTCTTTGTACTCAGTGAATCCCAAATGATAAAAATAAATAAGATTTAAAAATGAAATAGCTTTGTGGACAGATCATGATCCTAAGAGTTTTAATGTTGGTTGTAGCCATCCCTTGTACAACATGGAGAAGAAAAGAGATATTTAGCATTAACTTGTTTCAGGTACACTTTAGAAAACCCAACTCATTTTTTAAAAAGGATAGACTGACTTACTGCAAAGTTTAAAATTATATGATTTTTTTTTTTTTTGAGACAGAGTCTTAATTATGTCACCCTTGGTAAAGTGCTATGGCATCACAGCTCACAGCAACCTCAAACTCTTAGGCTTAAGCGAGTCTCTTGCCTCTGCCTCCCAAGTAGCTGGGACTACAGGTGCCTGCCACAATGACCGGCTATTTTCTGTAGCAGTCGTCATTGTTGTTTAGCTGGCCTGGGTGGGGCTCAAACCCACCGTTCTTGGTATATGTGGGTGGCGCCATAATAACTGTGCTACAGGCACCGAGCCATAAAACTTTGATCTTTTTTTAAATCCTGAATTAGTTTCTGGCCTGAACTGAAGGCATAGGCAGACCTGCTAGTGGTAGCTTTGCTTTGTGGAAAGTGTTGTCGATGCCCTATACTTGAAAGCCTTTCCCTCAAATACCAGCTTTTGGCTATGTTAAGTTAATAGACTTTAACAGGTATAATCTAAATTAAGGGTCTAAATATACAAATTGAAAATGTTTTCAGTGACTTAATTTTAAAATCAAGCCTTAATATGAGCCCTGTATTAAATATAATATTACAATATTATAATTAATATTATATTAATTTACTAATATAAAACAATTTATTTTATAATTTATATTATTGTAAAATATTTTATAATTTATATTTATTAATATAAAATTTTCATTTATAAATTGAATAAAACAATTATCTGCTACTATTGATTACTAAGTTGTTATGTACCTTATAAAATTAGATATAGCTAATAGCATGCCTCATAAAATTTTTGGATGGCTTTTCAATATTCTTCATATTATATGAACTACTCTGGAAATTTTTCCCTTTTAATTGCCTTTCTTCATAAGAGCTAGGGCATTAGTGTAAAATAGAACGTTTTGTTTGTTTACAAGTACTGGTGTAAACTTAAGAGTGCTTAGATTCCCCACAGTTCTCCTAAAGGACTGTTAATTTATTCAGAATTGTGTTGGTACATTAACAGTTACAATTTCAGCAGTTGAATTCAATGAACATTTGTCAAGGATTTCCTATTTCCAAGCACTGGGTGTAAGAAGAAGAATAAGTTATGGTCCATGCCTCAAAGAGCATATGATTAGTGGTAGTTCTCACAAGATTTACTTCATCTCAACAACACTGGCATTGTGGGAACATCCAAAAGCTACAGTCTTGAAAATCATGGTGTCACAGCTCACAGCAACCTCAAACACTTAGGCTGAAGCTATTCTTTTGCCTCAGCCTCCCAAGTAGCTGGGACTACAGGTGTCTGCCACAACGCCAGGCTCTTTTTTTGGTTATAGTTGTCATTGTGGTTTAGCTGGCTCAGGCTGGGTTTGAACTCGCCACCTTCGGTGTATGTGGCAGGCACCATAACTACTGTGCTACAGGCAGCTGTCCATCTGCCTCAGCCTCCTGGAGTGCTAGGATTATAGGCATGAGCCACTGCGCCCATCCTTAAAATATTTTAAAATAACCTGAGTCACTTTAGTCTGTTTGAAAAGAAGAAAGTGTTGTGAAAAGTTTTTTTCTTACAGAATGGTTATTTGATTTTATAATGTGTTCTTTAAAAAAAAAAAAAAAAACCTTTCTGATGGTGTATAAAATTTCTGAAGTTTTTGTCTGAGTATCTCTTTAGTTTTTCAGAAAATATCCTACATAAGTACAAGCCTTTAGAGCTATCAAAGTAAACTTTTATTTTAAGGTAAACACTATCTTTGTGCTATCTGGAAACTCTTTATGAGGCATAATAAACTATTTTTTTACATCAAGCATTTTGCTATCCAATTCTATAGTTGAAGAGATGTGTGATATATATACAGTTGCTATTTTCAAGTGAGCAGTCTACTAACCGTCAGATTGTAATAGTTTTTTTATAGTATTTCAACAGGTATCTATTAAAACGTATAAAACATTATCTCAGTGATAATAAATGTTTAATAGTTATCTTTTTTAAATGACATAAAATAAAAATATGAAGATAAATACAATTATCCAAGTATATGGTCATATGTTATAGTTCTCTTATTTGTCAGTATTGTAGATACTGGTTTGCTTTTCAGCTGTATGATATCATTTTATTTTATTTTATTTTTGAGACAGTCTCTGCCACCCTGGGTAGAATGCTGTGGTGTTACAGCTAACAGCAACCTCAAATTCCAGGTCTCAAGCTATCCTTTTGGCTCAGAATCCCACGTAGTTGGGACTACAGGCATCTGCCATGATACTGGCTAGTTTTTCTCTTTTTAGTAGAGACAGGGACTCGCTCTTCCTCAGGCTGGTCTCTGACTCCTGAGTTCAGGCAATCCCTCTGTCTTGGCCTCCAGAGTGCTAAGATTACAGGAGTAATCCACCTCACCCAATCCAGTGTCATATATTTTAAAAACAATAATTTCACGGGTGGTGCCTATGGCTCAGAGGAGTAGGGTGCCAGCCCCATATACCAAAGGTGGTGGGTTCAAATCTGCCCCCAGCCAAAAACTGCAAAAAAAAAAAACAAAAAAAACCAATAATTTCACTTAAAATGAGTATTTTA